TCTGTGTCTACACAGCAGTGAAGCATAGTCAAAACATCCATAGATACAGCACATCTCTTTATAGGGGAGCGACACTATGTTATAGCGATTATTCTGCTGATCAGCTATTATAGCCACTTATATATCTAGCTATTTGTGATTCCACTACTAATTTGACTCACAGTACATAGAGCTATACTCACCACTTGTGTTTCAATGACACGGTCTGTCATGATGATGTCATGGGGCGTGGTCATACGACCAACCACGAGAGTTATTGACACTGACACTCACTGGGTTGTGGTAGTTGGAGTACGCCTTACTAAAGTTGATTACAGCCACCTGTACATAATAGCACATGAGAAGAAGGAAAAAGATGTTAGCACTTGGCAAAGTCTCTGTTGAGTTAGGAGTCATAATTATGTGCAGGATCTTCCCTCGCCAAATACATGCTGTTTGTTCAGCTAATCTAAGACACACAAACCTCTGCCTTAGCCTGCCTATGCTCTTAACGGGCACTGTGCTATACGTGATTCTAATTACACGCGAAACGCCCAAAATTGAACTACCTGCCAAAAATGTGTTGCATTCGTTCTAATACAATGCCATAAAGGAAATCAATCTGAATTCCCCTATGATTAATCAGGGGATAGTTATAAACCTCCGAACAAGGGACACTGTGGGGTCACGATTTGTCCTGCAGAGAGGTTGTCCTACCTCGGAAACTAAAGTATTGCCACGTGTGGTTGAAACAAGTGTCCTCTTTAGAAGCGTCGTCCCTATCTCGGAGGGTCCCTTATCAGAGGTTCACTGTAAATTGTGTACATAAGCTCTCTCACTTCTGTACATACCTTGTACTCTGGCCAGTGCTCCAGCAAACCAATGGACCGAGTCAAACACATCACAGAGCACCGCAGAGTAGTTGCTCTGAGATCAGGTGTGGAGGATCAATGACACTGCCGACACAGCGAGCAGACAGCCCAACACCACTACCACGTATAGTCGGTGGTGTAGCTCTACACAGCTGAGAAAGAGAGGAAAAGAGAGAGAGAAAATACAGAGAAATCAAACAATCAATGAGAGTACTGGTAGGTTTGTTGTTAAATACGCGTTTTTGGATGCTGTGGCTCTTCGCACAAAAGCTCATATGAGGGAGACACAGAGCTAAATATGAAATCAACACATACAGTAGGACATCCTGAAATAGAGATTGTATAATGGCACTTAGAACTCTTAGTGTACTGGACAAATGGGTGTCCACTAACACATGATGTGACATGGAAAACTTTGTGTACAGCTACATCGGTGGTAAGTAGATCAAATCCCTAACTGAGTCCCTTCGTTTCATTTTTATCATCTGTAGGTTAAAATAGTTTACTTCCAGTAGAGTGCATGATCCTGGTGTAGTATACATAAAATTCTTCTCGGCTCACCAGTGGTGTATGATGGTCCACCTATCGTGTTGTCCACAATCAAGTTCCTCCAACCGAGATCAGCATTCAGAACTTTCTGTGCACCATCCTGTAAAAAACCAGCAATACAGTACTATAGCAATATATGACGCATCTATGTAGCTAACTCAGATAGCTTATCAGACCAGGGGTCACCTTTCGTGTTCTCATCATCAACTCAATCACAGTTTTGGTGACTGCTGATTCTTGCCAGTTCGACATTATTCAGTTCCTTCAGTAGTCTCAGTAGGTGAACCTCTCTCAGTACCTGGGCCAGACCACCGTCAGTACGAACAACTTGACCAGGAGGAAATCATAGTCCGTCTGAATGTGGTATGAGTTAATACGTTGAATGAGGGGGCTAAGAAAATGGAGAGGATACTATAAGCAGTTGGAGATAGACCTCCAACTTCATACGAAGCAATTGGAGGGTGAAGTGGTGAAAGGGGAGAGACGTCTGAACGAGAATTCGGCAACCTTGTCTAGACTGAGATCCTTTGCTTGACTGTCTACAAGCCAAATGAACCCAACGCCAGGCATAAGATGGTGTTAAACGTAGGACGAGGTAGATTATCCATATCTTTTGTGCAACAGTCTGAGAGATGTAAAGACACACCATGACAGTCTTGCCAGTCCATGGCCAGTCATCACCAAGGCTTTCCTCCCGATCCTCTGGACAAGTAAATGTCTCATTGAAATCTCCAAAAAACAAAACTGCAACAAATCCTCCGAGTGATAGCAGTAATTGAACGAACAATTTCAGGAGATAGAGTCTGTGCATGGAGTTGGAGCGGTGGGTGCCGCTGGAGAAGGCGTCCAGTTGCTTCGAGATGACGTAGTTGCTCTCTGGATAGTCGCCCGTGCTCGGCTCACGGGTCCGAATTAGCCCAGACACCAGGTGGAAGAAAGAATCCAACTTAGCACCGAATAGATTCAGCCAGATGTAGTGCGGAGCCAGGATCAGGATGGCGTGAACGGCGATGAAGGCAGGGAGATACTCGGCCGGCGGGAGGCTCGCTGCGCACCTCTCGTTAACGTACTCGCCCACATTCTCGAAGGAGTCAGCGACGGCCGAACGGTTGAAGAAACACTGGACCTTCGAACCGCGAACATACTCGGTGATGAAGTCGATCGCCGACAGAGAGAGAATGGCGCCGACCACGAAGAGCGTGACCGAGTCCCAGAAGAAATCGCGGGACTGGACGGACTGGACGGTTCTCGCCGTCCTTTCTTCCCTCCAACTCCTTAGCGTCCGGCACACCGACGCTCGCCATCTCATCAATCGCGAGTTGGGCGGGGAGGGGCGAGCGTAGATATGTCTACACTGCGCATGCGTAATTAGTTCGCAGGATGCTCTCTGTTTTTACAAAATGATACACGAACTCCACCAACTACTACCACCGCCGCCGGTAATGACCCTTTCTCCAACTATGACGTACACGTAGCCGGGTTCCGACTGAGCGTTGCTCTTCGCTTGATCGTTTGCCGAAGGAACTCTGATTTCAAACAGTTTGTCCTCGGCTACCGTCATGTTCTGCGTCTTGGAGTAATACATAATGCCGGAGTACCCCTCGTTTTCGTACTCCTTCCTTCTTCGGTCGGGGTCTATCGTGGCGCCGGCTCTAATGGCCCCGCTTCTTCGGATTATCCGGTGGAGTCGCTCCTGCGTTATTGGTCCCTCCAACTGTAACTCAAGATCACTGATGAGTGATGGTGTGCAATAGGCTCTAACGACGTCCGAACTTACGGTAAGATGTCCCTTCGGAGAATGCCCCATTTTCTCCCGTATACAAAGTCATGAACCGGCTCCAAAAAGTAGCCACACACCTGATTTTGCTTTGGAACCTCGCCCCTTTTTTTGCATCAATGAATATGCTGAGCGAGCCAACCTAGTCGTTCGTTCGAGCGGATTTTTCTTCGTCCGTCCGTAAGTGCGCATGCACATTTTCACACGCGGTGCCTCGCGTAAAATGCGCCGATCGATCTAGCCAGCGGGAGAACTCTCCTCCATTCGACGGCATGCGCTGCATTCTCGGTGACTGACCGAGGCTACCTCTTCCCAATCTTCATGGTTCGAAGGTGCAACTTGGAAATAAGCTAGGATTGCTCGTGCAAATACTGCTGCATGCCAGCTGCCTGGTGGACCACGACTGACGAGTTTAATTAAGACAGAAACCCTCATGTAAAGTTCTCCACCCACTACTCTAAGTATGTGGTCTATCCTTTTGTGCTATGGCTGCAGTCTGAATGTCATTATGAGAAGTTGCACAAAAGCTTTCATATGCAAGTCCCAATTAATTAAAATGAAGCCAGTGTAGCGCTGAACCCGTTGGTGTCGCTTTTTGGCCTGTTTGTTGCGCGTGGTGGTGGTAACAGACAGACAGACAGACAGACAGACACACAGAACGACTACCGTAACCCTCGCTGCGCATGCACGCCGCCGAGGGTTAATAATTCCCTTTGATGTTGAGTGTAGTAATCAAGTGTCTAAAACCCATAGTACTGGGTCTGCCAGGTATCAAGTACTTATACCTCTAAGTTGCAAGTTAAATCACTGTGAAGAATTTAGATCACTGAGGTTCACAAAGGTCAAATTCATAATAATCGACGAGTTGGAAGGCCCATTTGCTCCTAGCTTCGAGACCTGCCGCCGAGCAGGACGAGTTCATCATAGCAGCGCTCAGCCCGCGTCGCTTGGACGATTTGTTGTTGGTCGCTAGTCAGGCGTTTCCCGGTATATAGAGCGTTCGTTCCTGTGTAGCTGATTTCAACCCCTGACAAACAACAAATCGTCCAGATCAAGCGACGCGGGCTGAGCGCTCCAGTGGTAGTGTCTTGCTCCGGCGGGGCTAGCAGGATATATCCGTCCAGTTGCTGCGATGCTTGTATGATGAACTCGTATGAGCAAATGGGCCTTCGCCGTTTCCCAGCCTAAATTCTGGCGGGCATATCCAACTGGGTAACGGGTGTTGCACACTATCGAAAAGACTAAGCGAAACTGCGCTCTCCGTGCCGCGGGTTAGACCACTGAACTCGTCTGAAAACCCTCGTGGGTTGACCTCGGCTCCGCCTCGGTCACTATTGCGTAATTCTCACCGGGTTATTAACCCTCGGCGCGCATGCGCAGCGAGGGTTATAGTACTTGGTTTGTCCGTCTGTCTGTCTGTCCGTCTGTCGGTCCGTCTGTTACCACGTTTTCTGCCACCACGCGCAACAAACAGGTAAAATAGCGACACCAGCGGGTTCAGCGCTACACTGGCTTGATTTTTAAAATGGCGATTTTCGTAAAAGTGCCGCGTTCAGAAGTTATGGCGTGAAAACCAAGTGAACAAGCCAATTGCTAATTAGAACTGGCTTACCTCGACCTGATCTGCTTGCTCTGTGTACCTCGGAGGCACAAGAAGTCACAACGAAGGGCGTGTATCGACTCCCGCATGCTATCTACTACTGTAGCTAGCCCGTTTCAGACTCTCCGCGAGCTAAGCGGGAGTAAACGTATACTAGTATAATAGGCCCAGCCCACCAATTAGCGGTACCGCGCATGCGCAGTTGGCCGAGGGTTTGCACTTTAGTGCTTTTCATTCATAATAGTAGTGACTCGTTCCAGTGATCTAACCTATACTTACCACGCTGAGTGTAGCTCTTCAGCATGATGTTACTCCTCTAGTTGCCATTAGGGGTGGGTTTATAACTGCAGAGGTCATGCACAAACAGAGCCACATTTGAGTCTCGGTCCCATCAGTGTGTGAGTTTTGAGCAAAATTTCATGTGAGAGCTTGTCAACGTCATAGTATATATGGCATTGCATAATGTGTCCACACTTACATCTGTCATTTTATCAGTATTATTATGTAGTCACTAGTCATTTTGCCAATCATAACTATTCAATAGAGCTAGCTTATAATCCTGCCGCACAGAAACTGTACAGACACTCAGCCTACTGCCGCCTTTGACCGTTTATGACATAAACATAACCTTTGTCTTCCGGGGCGTTGCTATTGGCGTGTTCATTGTATCGTGGTACTCTGATAGCCAAAAGCCTATCCTCAGCAAGCATCATGTTCTGTGTCTTAGCATAGTACATTGTGCCTGTATATCCCTCATTTTGATATTCACCCCTTCTGGCACCAATGCGTGTTGTCACACCAGTTCGAATAGATCCATGCCATTCAATAATTTCCTCAAGATCCCTTTGTAAAATTGGTCCTTCCAACTGTAATGAATTTAACCCATTTACTTCACCTAATCATTATACAGGTTATCATTACCTGAAGTTCCATATTTCTTCCCGAAGCGTCGGATTTTCTCGAATCACGTTCAAGCAGCGACCTACACGAAGGCAACGACTCCACGAGGCGTATCTGGAGTTGAGGATCGTATATATAATATATTCAACGATCATGCCAGCGTATATACCGGCGGAAGTCATGCAGCGCGCGGGAGGCGTTGCACTGACCTTGACCTTTGGACGTCCAAAAAGGCCTGTGTAACCACATTAGCTCGCTCCGAGGAGTAATGTGTATATAGGCACTCCAGATGTTTACCACCAAGCCTTTATCTCCTAGTGCAATCGGCATACCGTTGACATAGGCTACTCCCCTTTACAACTCAGGCAGAATTCAGTAGTGTCATAAAAAAAATGTGGGTGGGAATTGGTGGGTGTATATAGCATTATACCTACCAGTGCTGAGACCATGAACACTTTCATCCTCCACTTCACCTTTCAACATTAGCAGTATTGTAGTTAGCTACTCCCGCCACTTACCCACACTTGGTTGGTTGAATTTCTTCACTTTAATTAAACACAGAGTTCTGGGCAAATGCAACCTGTTTTAAGTTTACTCCTCTGCATGTTCCCCAAAATGAGGTTTGTAATACTTTTTGCTGTTAAAGCTTAATTAAAGTTAATATAGATACATAACAAGAATATACTCATTTTTATCACCTATGATAATCGTCTTTGCATATATTTTTCAGGTCGACATGTGAAACTTTAAGGGCATAATGTGCATGTCCATTGCATTTTACTAAAGTGCAAACCCTCGGCGAACTGCGCATGCGCGGTAGCACTAATTGATGGGCTGGGCTTTCAGTATTCGTTTACTCGTGACGTGTATCCCGCTATAGCTCGCTGAGAGCCTGACACGGACTAGCTACAGTAGTAGATAGAATGCGGGAGTCGATACACGCCCTTCGTTGTGACTTCTAGTGCCTTCAAGATGCACAGAGCAAGCGGACCTGGTCGAGGTAAGCCTGTGCTAATTTGCTTGTTCACTTGCTTACGCCATAACTTTTGAACGCAGAAGATCGCCTTTTATGAAGCCTGTGTAGCGTTAGAACCCATTGGTATCGCTGTTTTGTTGTCTCGTTGCGCGTAGTCGCAGAAACGTGGTAAAAGACAGACAGACAGACAGACACACTTACAAACCAAGTATAATTGAGCAGTCTAGTGCAAGAATAGCATATGTCCACTACCACCAATCTTTCTAGCATACTCCTTCAGACGATCATTGTTATATCAACCTAACCAGTTAGTAACTAACCCTGGTGCCTAGTCGAATTTTTAAAGGTCAAAGGTTAATCATTCGCGCATGCGCAGTACTAGAGGTTACTCGTGCGCCGTCTTGTCGTCCTTACCGCGCTGCAGCAAAGTGATACAGCGCCCTATGGCCTCCCAAGCAACGTTTGCAGAGCCCACTGGGACCTGCAAACGTTGCTTGGGAGGTCATAGGGCGCTGTATCACTTTGTTGCAGCGCGGTAAGGACGACAAGACGGCGCACGAGTAACCTCTAGTACTGCGCATGCGCGAATGATTAACCTTTGACCTTTAAAAATTCGACTAGGCACCAGGGGTTAGTTACTAACTGGTTAGGTTGATATAACAATGATCGTCTGAAGGAGTATGCTAGAAAGATTGGTGGTAGTGGACATATGCTATTCTTGCACTAGACTGCTCAATTATACAGTACTAGCCCTCGCTGCGCATGCGCGCCATAGGTTAATAATGTAAAATGACACCACGCTGAGTGTAGCTTTTCAGCATGATGTGTACACAGTATATACAGAGTACTCCTCTAGTTGCCTTTTAGGGGTGGGTTTATTACAGAACTGCAGAGGTCATGCACAATTAATGTTCTTGATTTCACTCATCAGGAGGTTGATTTGTATTCCAAAGCACAAATACTTAGCGGCAATCGGCTTCGGATATAACATTTATATCGTCTTCGACTAATTCGCGAGACAGCTGGTCGGCAAAGGCCGTAGTTCTACGCGGAGTAGCCATCACGACCACGCCCGTTCTCTATGAGCACTAGTTTCCCCACCGGGATGCTCTAGGCTTTGCCTACCGCGAGGAACTATACTATTGTGTGGGTGCTGGGGTACTCACGGCTTCTGTACTATGGTGCCTGGACCGAAAAGCGGCCTAGAAAGTCGGATTGGATTGGCTTCTTCTTGGTCAGCTCCCGGTCGGTATAATAATTATAGGGCGTGCTGCTAGCTGTGGGGGTGCGGCTATTCGCGCATCCATCCCCGCCCCCTTGGCGTGGCACGCGCGCGCGCTAAACACAACATGAACGTAAACATACAGCTATGTATATCTTCTTGTCTTTCTTTATGAGCTACTGTCCAGTGGAATTTGGTAGAAAAGCGTGAGCCTTTGCAGACCCCTGGTTATCCTTTCCTCTCAGTGTGAAACCTGGAGAGATAGAAGGAGGCAGGGGGGCAGTAATTGAGTACTGGCTGCTCAGCTAACCAGAGTGGGCACGACGAGCAGAGTGGGCAAAGTCGTGTCTGGTTCCTGCGGCTGGCTCCTCCAGTACTGTATCCTCCCTGTATGACATTATAGTGCCATGTGATACACAAACACTCTTTAAAATGTACACTGTAACCCTTGATTCATTCTCAAAGGTGTACGTTTCCTAACCCGTCCATCTAACGTCACTTGTTACACTAAAAGAAAGATGGACCTGCATTTTGACACCCACACAATGGTTACAGTCATAATCGTAAGCTCCGTTTGGCATGCTAAAAACTGTACGTTCTTCTGTAACATTGCACTCTCACTAATAGTCATCACTCCCACCATTGAAAATTGTCTTGAATGTATTGGAGTTTGGGTCCTTAGCTAATACTCTTCATATAACGATATTCCAACTGAATGCTGGTTCTTTAATTGGATTGTTTAGTGTTTCAGACTCACCTTTTCGGTGGCCACATGGTCTGCTGAGACCTGACTAGCTCTTCTCCGGTGTCAAAGTCAGGGTTGACTGCCACCACCAGATCTATAGAGTTCTAATAGATAGAGTATCACATATGACACAAGTGGGAAATGAAGACCCATCTATAGAACCCCCCCCCCCAATAAGAAATTATGAGCAGGTTTGTTTCCCAATAGGCCTGGCACAAGAATTTAGCACATATAATTATTATACTGCCGCAATCCATCACAACACTCTACGTTAGCCCTCAAACTATCAGGTAAAGAGAGTTGTGTGCATACCGACTCCATATCCATGGCATCTTTGAGAGCCTGTGCAGCTTCGTCATGGGTCACCTCAAGAAGACTGACTCCATCACACACCAGTAGCTGGTCTCCTACATTCAGTCGACCTGTGTGTATACACACATACATCCATACACTGAGGTTGATAGAGGCCAGATTGGTGTGGCAGTATATGAGGTCAAATTTAGAAGATAAAAATGGAAACGTAATTGCATTCTTGCACTGGGGTCTATATATCTTTAGGACATTTTAATTTAACGTGTAGCTAGTATATTATAGCAACACACTTTGCCTCAGTGTTAAATCGTTATAAATTTGACTTGGCTTAGTTGATGTGGCAGTACATAAGGGATAAATCATCAATAGGGCCAAATGCAAAAATATTCAAATTTTCTGATTTGAGCCCATATAAACTGCTAAATTCCCTATAACAGTTTGGTGACTGACCATATTGTTCGGCTGCTCCACCTTCCAGAATCCTGGAGATGAGTATCTGGTCACCCAGTGGAGTATCTGTGCCACCGCGAATGGCGATCTTCAGGGGAGCCTCCTGCAATTACAGCCACAGATACATACATAACTGATATAGTGTGTCAACAACTAGGTAGCAAGGTAGAAAGGCAAGGCAAAGCAGCTCTTTCTTCCAAGGAAAAAAGAAGAGCTGCCTTAAGTGGGATTCGAACCCACGACACTCTGCTCTCTAGGTGAGCGCTCTTCGATGCATAACTCATGTGAGAGGGTAAAGTGTACGGGAAGCAGAAGTGGGGTGTGAATTTAAATTTCAGGTTACAGTGCAGCTCTAGAGTGTAGGTGCAAATGTTGTGTCTGGTTATTGTTGCTTCATAAAGTCTTCAGTCTTCCATTGACAAAATGATTATGTATAAAGTGATTTGTTACTAGGGAGTGTTTCACTTAATAAGGGTAGTGGAGTTTATGGAACACTGACCTTTGGGATGGTGTGGAAAGCAACTCTTCTTCCTTGAAGAACTTCCTCACTGAACTGTATAGTATGTGTGCGTGTGTTCAAGAAACTGGGAGCTTGAATTTTGCTTTAGTGAAGGACCAAATTTTTTGACAGCAATTGCACTATAAAAGGTTTCGCTCGGATATATAGCAGCTTGTTATGGGTTTGGACAGCTAATCAATGTTAATTTTGCATTAATACTTCTGAAAAAGGATCTTCTGAATGGAAGGATACTTAGTTCTCTCCTATTACGTACATTACCTCCGATTAAGAGACACTTCATTAAAAAGGACACTTTCAATGTCTCCAAGGTGCTCCCCTGGTCTCACTCTATGCAGTAGGTGTGTGTACACGTAAGATTACGTACCTCCATGTTGCTGGGATGAATGACATCAGTCAGATTATCAGAGCTGCCCCTTCCATTCCCGTCATCGACATTGATTATCTCCACCCTGGGTTTGTTATTGCAACACTATCACCTCTGCTCCTTACATTTAGCAAAGTTTTAAGGAACTATGAATAAGCTCAGAATCTATGACAATGTGTATTGATGATGTGTGGCACGTTTGTGTGTAGCTACTTGGCTTTCTCCTTTCTTTGAATGCTGGATTCTTCTTTTTCACTTTTAGCTGCATTTCATAACAACACAAGCATTATTAAGGAGCAGAGTAGTTCTGGTTAATTGCTTAGCTGAATATGAAAGCAACACACTCTGCTCGCCCTAAACTAATTTACCGGAGAGTTGTGGCTGGTTTTCTTGAGGGCAGAGGCAGTGGGTTGTTTGGAGAGGGAGGCTCCTAAAGTGTCTCTGTCTCTCCCTATACCTTCCTCTCTCTCAGTCCTAGATGATTGGGGCGACACTAATTGGAATAGGGGCGTGGCTCGTTACGAGGGGATTCGACTACACTTTTACCACCGACTATTTCTATGCCTTGCTCTACATTCTCCCTGGGATCCTCGCCGTGCTGTTATCGCTCGTCGGGATAATTGGCACTCTTGGAAAGTGGTACCGCGTGCACACTTGGGTAAGTTGCTATAATTATTCACTTGTATCGGAAGAGGTTTGAGGGCAGAGCATGCAAATTTCTCCAAGCATTGACCATTGGTTTAGTGGTTGTGTTGATGTACAAGTATTTGCACCAGAGGTAGAATTTGGACATTCTTATCCATTGCATACGAATCTTCAGAGGTGAGGACATGTATTTTTCTAATTGTGCAGATCTAAGTTCCTAGTAAAGTGTAAGGCGTAACAATGCTCCATAAATTCTTTTTTCTCAGTATGCATGTTTGCAGAGTGGCACCCGGGGGGTGTTTGCCCCTACACCTTTGTTTTTTGGCTGATATGCCTTTCCTTGGTGTTGGCCCTTCCTCTGGTCTCTGTCGACCACCATTCCTGTATTTTCATTCCGATGCTTTTCCTGACCACTCTGTTCCCCTCCTCATGATTCACCACGCCTCCCCCCCCTCTTTTGGTCTTTGCCGCCAAGATGTTGTTTAATAACCATCCCCTCTCTTTCTGCTACCTTGGTTTCCCCCATGTTTCCTCTGTCCCGTTTTGATCTTCCTGGTCCCAACTAGCTTCGCTCGCCCGTCCCCTCCTCTCATTCCCGTTCTCCACTGCATATTATCATGACTCCTCATAACAGCCGGGGTTTTGGTTATCGTGTTCAGAAATGAACTGGTGAGTGGTGAGTAACTATTAGTCAAGAGACAGATTTTGAATTTCGACCACATCTGTGAATTTTTTAATGAAATCTTTTTATTGAACTAAGTTATTCCTCGCTCCTTAACTTGTTTCGATGCAGTTTGCATGTAATAGTATGGCATTTGATCTTTCACTACAATTGCCGGTTTCCATGCAGTCTGAGATGGCAGAAGATAGTTTTCCCGAAGACATTCGTGCCATACACTTGT